ATATATATATATATATATAGTATTTAGCCTAATTATTGGCATATAAACAATTGGTAGTTGTTGCTAGTATCTTTAAGTACCTGCATTTTTCTAACTTGAAAGAACTTCTGATCCTCATAACTTAACCATTCTTCTTCATAGTGCTGAAAAATCTTTCTCATTGAGAGATGGTTCCCTCAAATCTACTGTATTTGAAATTTCAACTGCCTGTATGCTGCTTTACTCTTTCACATTGAACATATGAAACTTTTAAATGCAAATGTGAAAGTGTTTTAACTAGATATTAGCATAGTAGTCTGCAATTTTTATTAGACTTTAGTTACTCCTTACTGATTAATTCTAGAATGGCTTTCCATTTTATTATAACTTTAATAATGTGAAATTTGGCAATCTCCGTGTGTTGCTAGGTAACACAACAGTGGATGAGCTAATGATGAGACTCATGGCTGCAATGGAGATCTTCACAGCCCAACAACAGGAAGATATAAAGGATGAGGTAAGATGAAAGGTTAAGTAGACTTTTAATAGGATTTTGATGGGATAATTTGTCAAATGGAGATGCTTGCCTATGTCATGATTGATAAATAAGGATAATGAAGATGCATTTCCAGATGAACCAAGGACTTTTATACCATTGAGTTTACCTTTCAGTCCTTTCTTTTCATGACCCTAAGACCCAACAATTTGTTTAACTTTATGGACATTTATACTTTGCTAGATTTGGAGTGGTGACAGGAGGTCAATTTGCAAGAAATGAATTCCGAAGCATATTTACAAAAGAAACGAGAGTCCAGGAAATCCTGTGTACTATGTGGTTTTTTCACTCACTTTCAAGATCCTCCTACTCTTTTTAAATATTGAGATTGATTAGGAGTGAACAGATTTTACATTTTAACATATTTTTGAAACACTGGGAGGCTTAGTAAAAGATCTCCAGAATTCTGAATTTCTCAGTCTCTTTAGTATATTCAGTTGGTATAGATGGCATGAGCATGGAACCTCAAATAAAATAATAATAACAGCAGTATTGATAATGACAGTAGTAGTCAACATTTACTGAATATTTATAATGTGCTAAGCACTGAGCTAAGAAGTGATCTCAAAACAACCCCATGAGGTTGTATATGAGTCACAGAAACTCTGCCACAGAGTTCTGGCAGAAAACACATGGCACTTTCAAACTTGGTTATTTGAGAACAGTTTAATAAAAGAACTGTTTATAAAGGTAAGGTCAGGGTTTATGGAAATCAGCAATAGTTAGTACAAACTCTAGGGCAAAGAGGAGCCGTTAACCACCCCTAGGCCTAAATGTGTTGGAGAAGGTGGTATATCGAGAGGACTGTATCTAGTAGAGGGATATAGCCATTGGTGTCCTGGTAGAGAGGAAACCCGGAAATAGCTTTACTTTCCTTCCAAGCTCTGATCTCCTACTAGTACCTCCTACTGACCTAACCCAACCAGAAGCTGAAAATCAAGAGAACCACCCTGGGCAAAAAGCTAGGTGAAGTGTGGATACTGAGGACCAAATGAGAGATAATCTAATACAGATTGGTACTATTATCTTCACTTCTCAGATGAGAATGCTGAAGATCGAAACGGTTAAGTTCATTTGCCCAAGATCACATGGCTAGTAGGACCTATAATAATCTCAAGTAATCATTATTGCTATATCAGTCAAAAAATTTCTGGGTTTGGAAAACAGCCTAAAAATTATGAAACACATGCTAGCATTTGTTCCTTTGAGATGCTTATTTCACAGGTACTTATTAAATTATCCTTCCTAATATTTTTAATTGAAAAAATTATTTTCATAGACAAATAGAGAAAGTTTGATTTCTGAGTAATGATGAAAAGTTTCTAGCTATAGGGAGTACTTTCAATACAATACCCATTAGCTATTACAAATGGAAAACATGTAGACATATTTTTTACTTTATTTGCTTGTCTCTTTCTTCTATTAGACTGAGTTTAAGAACAAGAGTTGGGTCATATTCACATTTATAACTGTATCCCCTAACGGTATACCTAGGATGAAGTAAGCACTCAACAAATGTTTGCTAAATGATTGACTAAATGAATACTTGGCAGAATTCACATGAAATAATGTTAGTTGATGGGGCACCTGGGTGGCTCAGTTGATTAAGTATTCAACTTCAGCTCAGGTCATGATCTCACAGTTCATGAGTTCAAGCCCCACATCGGGCTCTGTGCTGACAACTTGGAGCCTGGAGCCTGCTTCTGACTCTCTCTCCCTCTCTCTGTGTCCCTCCCCTGCTTGCTCTCTCTCTCTCTCAAAACTAAACACTAAAAATAAAAGAAAGAATGTTAGTTGAAAAAAAGAATTCTTGATTATAGTGGTATAAAATCTGATTAACAAGTTAGCACTAATTAACAAATACGAAAATTTGGAGTGCTGTAACTAGTTTAGAGTTTTAATACACATTAGGTTTCTTTCATTGCTGGAAAAATGATGTTTGTAATTTTCCTTAATAGCCAATGTTTCATTTACTCTAAAGAAAAGGTAATCAGGTATATGGTGGAAAGATGTTTATCTGTTACTTTATAAATTGACAATGACATTTTGAAATAATGAAGTACTGTACTTACTTAGGAATTTGTAATAATAGGTGTGTTGCCGTTCATGATTACATTTATCCTGGAATAGAGGCATTGATTGACAATAATTCACTAAACACATTTTTCAGCCATTTAAATCTTGAGTCTCATTAGTACTAGATTTACAGATTATGCTGTATAATAATATGAATGCACTATATTTGCATGCATATTCCCAGTTCATTCTTTCGTCTTAATTTGTGTTCCTCATAATTCATTGGTAAAGAAATTGACTTTAATTCCTTTAATACTGAGCACAAATTTTAATATCAGGGTTACAGGAAAAATCCAAGGCTCCATATAATTGAAATTTTTATTGAAATTTAACTGTAAGAGGTAAGGATTTCTCTTTGTTTTTAGTGTCTTCATGGAAGTTATTATTCAGTTCATAAGTAGAGTTCCTAAGACAAGCTTTTCTAGGTTCAACGACTTGTTTTGGACTATGCATAGATCATAAATGATTTGGTATCTGCTGTGTACGTGACAAGAAACACTGTCCCTTATAATGGCGAATTTGCTTTTACTCTTCAAAAAATTTCAAGTAAGGCTTTATCTTAAGCTTGCAATTATAATCAAATTCATAGACAGGGTTGGGCCACAGCTTCCTAGGCCTGAATTTATGTAAACTTAACTTTGGTTCAGTTGTATCCATTACTTCCCTGATTCCATTGTATTCGTGCAACCAGAGATGCCTATACTATACAAAGTTTTTATTAAATAAAACCAAGCCCAAACATATTCATTCTCTGAATTATTCTTTAATGGCCCAGAATGCACTAACCTTTGTATCACTAATTGTTCTATTTTCTTTTCTTTTTCTTCCAAGATTTTATTTAAATTTAAGTTAGTTATTAATATATAGTGTAGTATTGGTTTCAAGAGTAGAATTTAGTGATTCATCACTTACATACAACACCCAGTACTCACCACAACAAGTGACCTCCTAATGCCCATTACCCATTTAGCCCATCCCCCCACTGACCTCCCTTCCAGCATCCCTCAGTCTGTTCTCTATATTTAAGAGTCTTTTATGGTTTGCCTCCCTCTCTGTTTATATTTTATTTTTTCTTCCCTTCTCCTATATTCATCTGTTTTCTTTCTTAAATTCCATATATGAGTGAAATCATATGATATTGTCATTCTCTGACTGACTTATTTTGCTTAGATACCAGAAGATACTCTAGCTCCACCCACGTTGTCACAAATGGCAAGATTTTGTTCTTTTTGATGGCTGAGGAATATTCCATTGTATATAATCAAGAAGCATACATTATATAAGCCTCTTGTTTTGGTAGAACGGCCTATAGTTTTATTCACAGACACTTTCAGTAATGATTTAGTTTGGTTTTTTAAGTGTTTACTGAGCATCTATCAAGTATATAGCTCCGGGCTCAGTCCTGGGGACAGAGAGGTACTTTGCTGCAATGTAGGCTTATTGACAATGAAGGGGTGAGGAGGAGAGTAAATATCACTACATGATAGTAGCCACATCTAAAATCTGTTTTTACTTACAGCCTGGTTCCAAACAATACTTTCTAACATGTAAATAGATTCAATTATTTTCATATGCCCTATTTTCTTTAGCCAGTAGTAATCCAGAAAACTCTGATTATAAAGGGTTTATGATACTTAGTTCCTGGTCTGTTTATTATTTCATTCGTTTCTTTGTTCATCCATTCAACAATGTATTTAGAATCCTCAGTGTCATAGGTGCAGGGATTACTTCTTTCCAGATTTTTCTATTTCTTCCTGATTCAGTGTTGGTAGGTTGTATGTTGAAAGGAATATTTTTTTTTAGTTTATTTATTTTGAGAGAGAGAGAGAAAGAGAGGAGGGGGAGGGACAGAAAGAAAGGGAGAGAGAATCCCAAGCAGGCTCTGTGCTATCAGCACAGAGCCCAGTGCAGGGCTCGATCCTGCAAACTGTGAGATCATGACCTGAGCTGAAACCAAGAGTTGGACGACACTTACCTGATGGAACCACCCAGGCACCCTGCAAGGAATTTATCCATTTCTTCTAAATGATCTAATTTATTTGTATACTGGAATATAATTGTTCGTAGTAGTCTCTTATGATCCTTTTTGTAATATTGTGCTATCAATTGTAACATCTCCTCTTCCATTTCTGATCTTATTTATTTGAGCCCTCTGTTTTTCTTGGTGAGTCTGTCTAAAGGCTTGTCAATTTTGTTTATCTTTTCAAAAATTCAGCTCTTAGTTTCACTGAACTCTTATTTATTATTGAAATTTAATTGACATAAAATGGTATATTTTATTTATTATTGAAATTTAATTGATATAAAATGGTTCCAGGTATACAACATTAATTCAATAATTCTATACATTATTCAGTGCTCACAATGATAAATATAGTTACACTGATCTTTTCTATTGTCTTTTAGTCTCCATTTCTTTCTCCTCTGATCCTTACCATTTTTTCCCCTCTGCTAACTTTGGACTTTGTCCTTCTTTTTCTAGTTCCTTGAGAGTAAAGTTAGATTGTTTATTTGAGATTTTTCTTGTTTCTTGATATAGGCATTTATCACCATGAGCTTATCTCTTATAACTGCATTTGCAGTGTCCCATAAGTTTTGATAGGTTGTATTTCCATCTACATTTGTCTCAAGGTATTTTTTATTTTTTCTTTGATTTCTTCATTGACCCACTGGTTGTTCAGCATGTTGTTTAAGCTCCACATATTTGTGAATATTCCAGTTTTCTTCTTGTAATTGATTTCTAGTTTCATACCATTTCAGTTGGAAAGCATGCTTGATATGATTTCAGTTTTTATTAAGATTTTTTGTGTGCCCTAACATATGATTTATCCTGCACAGTATTCCATGTGTGCTTGAGACGAATGTGTATTCTGATCTCTTTGGGA